CCCCAAGGGAGAACAAGTCTTAAGACGATGCTAAGGTCTCCAAAGTTCACTCCAAGACCATAAACCAAACTGCCTGCAGGTCTGCAGCTGCAGGCGGCAACAAGCCTGCTTTTAAAAGAACACCTTCATGCCCTCGGGTGCTACAATGTCCCTCTACGCCCTCCCATCTCAGGGTAAGAGCAGCCGCTGCAGAACCTTGCAGGGCAGCATTGACAGGGCTGGACAAAGAGGATCAGAGCTAAATGAAGCCTTCTGATGACACGAGCTTGTCACTGTGGCACTTTACAGATGAAGATATATATAGAGAGAGGTGGGGTGATATTGCTCAAAGTCACACAGCTAATAACTGGCAAAGTCTATAACTCTGCTCCTCCCTCTGGCGTGACGCCCCAGCTGGGACACCCACAGAGTTCTCTCGTGCCTGCCTGACCAGTCCGTTCCTGTCACTCATAACCCACCACAGTGTGTGACCCTAGCCTGCCTTTTCAGCATCTTTTCCCTCCAGTCTCTCAGGAACAAGGCTGCTCTGGCCACTATATGACTTCTGGCTAGCCAAACCCTCCGTGTTCAGGCTGGTCTTGCCTATGCATCCGGCCCCCTGCTCAAAGGGTTTCCTCCACTGCAGGAGGACGTTTACACTCTCTGCAGGGACACCCCCTCAGAGGAGCCCTCTTCTCGCCCTCAGCACAGCAGGTGTCCCAGGCCACATCCCGAGCTGCCCCATTAGGCCTGCGTGTGCCCAGGTCTGCTAGTCAGACCAGCAGCCTCAGAGCCAGGGATTATGCCCAGGTCACACTGCAAACCTACTGCCCGTCTCACAGCCCCCAGCCAACAGTTCACCTGGAAGTCACAGCAAGTGCCCCACCCAATCCAGAAGTCTCTTCTTTTGCCAGCACCACTGATGACTGTTTTCCATCCTTTGGTCAGTTTCGCAAAAAAAAGCACCTTCCACTGTGAATCGGGGGGTTTTTGCTTCTGCTCCCCATCCTTACTGGAAACGTCAAGGGAACCCAAAAGGCCTTTTCTCAACACTTTTTTGATGACACCCTCCCACCCACAATACTCACATGCTCAAGAGATTTGGGTCCACGTGATTTTGCTTTCCTTACGCTAAGTGGCTAGAAACACTGCGGGATTCTTTCTCTTTTGAGGGTATTTGTACTCAGTTTATCAGCTTTAATCTGTTTTTGTCTCTCTCTTCAGTATCCCTAGCAGTTGCCACTTCTTACTCCCTTCAGCAGCCTCCCTCCCAACATGTAGTCTAGGAAATCAGCTGTGATGAGGGGCACGGGGTCAGTCACAGAAGATGCAACTAAGTCATAAAGAGGCTACAAAATTTGCCCAAGAAGGTCAGCATTAACCCCCAACAGTGTGTGTCACGTCCCTCTGTTTAACTCTTATGCTAAGCAAGTTAACTTTTTGTAGATTATAGTTATAAACAGATGAGGTATCAAAATATATACAAGGACACACATCATTTCTAAGATATTCATTAACTCCACTATTTTGTTACTATTTATTTTATTTCTATTAAAGAAAATTAAGAACCTCTGCAGTCAATATAGCAAAATGTTACTGGGTTTTAAATCCAGAATATAGAGGTGTTAAGTGTGTCATTACTCATACTTATTTGTATGTTCACAAGACAAAATGATTTGAAAGTCTCTCTCCTCTCACCCTACCCACTACTAGCTCTCACCAGAGCTCCCAGACCACACATCTATCAGCCTTTCACTTTACCCACAGCTGAACCCATCAGATTTTCCCCAGAACTCCTTCTGCAGCTTTCCCTCATCACAGCACAGCAGGGCCATCATTAACCTCATTAATCCACCCAGAAACCTGGGCCTTACTCCATTCTACCTTCACAGACAGCAAACATCCTTTCATTTTTACTATCGAAACATGTCTTCAATCTGTTCACTTTTACTCACTGACCGTCCCACCGCTCAAGTAGAAGCCACAAACACTGCCCACCTGGACTCACGAGTCTCCCAAGTGTCCCCACAGCCGCTCTCCCCTACTTGAGACAAATGGGATTGTGTCACTCCCGCGCTTTTAGGACTCTTTTCAAACCCACTGTTCTTAGAAGAAACTCCCAGTTCTTCACCTGGTGAAGGTCTTTGCCATCAAACTGTCAGATCAGGGTGGGCAGGACATGTCCTCTCCCCTCAGCCCCACCCTCTGGCAGAGCATCAGCTTGGGAGGACCTGCTAAGCTACACCAGCCTGTATTCTAAACCTGGTATTGAGTTCTTAGCAAACTGCTTCAATTATCCATACAAATCCAAGATATATTAGAAAGATTTTAGATGTTGATCTAGATTACTGATTTGGGGATTTTGCACTAGCAATCTGCAAATACATGTTCTAATAATTCTGTCTTCTAAAAGCCACACCCAGATTTAAGTAGTACTTGTGGAATGTCTTCGGAGTAAAAGGGACTGTACTTTTACAGACTTTATGTTTTATAACACGAACAACCTGCACAGGGTCACAAATGGACCTTCCTCACAAGTGACAGAAGACAGTTGAGAGGCATATAGCAACAGGTCACAAAGATAGTAAGAGCAAAGTAGATTCTTCAACCCCCGAAAAAATTAATCAAGGAAGTGAAAATTCTGAATTTTGAAAGTAAAATACTATCATATAAAGAAAAAAAATAAATAATCCTCTTCATCATGGTTTCAAGATCTGACTCCAGAATTTTTAGCATACCATACTGAATCATAGCACTGAAAAGTCAGATGGACTAGTGGTGAATAATTTCCAGGAAAACTGCAGTAATTCTTTCACTTGTAAAAGGACATACACTCACCTGTCGAAAGTGAATGTAAATCGCATTCTGGAGAAATTCAGAAGCTTCCAGGCTCCGCTTCTGGATGGAAAGGACACGGACAGCTTGGAAGCATGCTTCTAACTCAGTCACCGGCATTCTTACACTGCAGGGGGAAAAGGAGGCCCTCAGTCAAAAGCAGAGATGTTCCTGTCGTGTCTCACATGCCGTGCCTCGGGGACTCAGTGCCCTGCAGCAGCCCGGCCCCAGGCGAGGAACCGCAGCGTAGCCCACCCAAGCAGGAGGAGCTCTGTGCTTGAGAAAGCCCATCCCCGATGGGGGCAAGGGGGGCTGGTGGGGTTGTGTGAACCTATAAATGCCCATAGAAATACACCTGCATACAATCAAGTGATACAATTAAAAGTAGAAGGCTACTTAACAAAATTTCAACTGTCAGTGAAAATTTTACCATTCCTTTTCTCTTGTCCCCTGCACTCTGAAACAGGCTTAGGCTCTTTCACACCTGCAGCTCTGATGCAATAGTTGTGAAGTTATTTTAATTTGCTGCAAGTGTCTTCACTCCCCGTGTCGCTGTGACTGTCGTCTCTTAACAGAGTCAGATGTCTTCCTGGATCTCTCCCTGAGTTCCTTGCTCCTGCTTCTCAGATCCTAAGATAAAGGACAAGTAAAAACACATGACTAGAAAAGGCACTGTGGACTTCACCAAAGCATTCAGTGACCCCTAGGTGAGTGCTTCCCACCCCTTACATTCGATTCTCAAGGTTCTGCCCAGGGTGACCTCCAGACAGGATAGCGTCCTGGGCCAATTAAATGCTGTGTGGCTTGGGCACAGGGACAAGTGCAGGAGCTGGTTCCGGAGCTGGGCCCCTCCCCACGTCTGCTACTTTCTCTCCCGAGGCCCCGCTGCCAAGCCCCCAGGCTCCCTGATCTTCTGTCCTTTTCTTGTACTCTACTCCAAGCCCTTTTCCTCTTCCTTTAGTCCCTAATTATCCCCAGCTGGAGTGATTTTTCAATCACAGTATCTGAAAAAATTTCCTGCAGCTGAAAATGAGATCTCCAGAGGTCAATGCCCATATGCTGGTTCTTGAAGAGAGCCCCAGGTTAGAGAGACCCTCACCAACACTCACAGGGCATCAGACATGTTGCAGGGTCAAACACCCCCAAAAAGAGTTTGCTGTGACCTCAAGGCACGCACAGCATCCCTGCTAACAAAAATGTAGTTGGCACATTTATCCGTTATTAAGAAGCAAAAATAAAAAGTTGTTCATGTTTCTTACTAAAATTATTTATGAGGTGGAAAAAGAAATTGTAATAGAAAAGAACAAATTTGACTTCATGTTAGATGTGTTCCTTTGGCTTTAAACCTGTGCCCTGTTTACTAGGCTCAGACTTGCTAGCTCTGCACGCACCTTTTGTAAAAGAAAGTTGCCTTTATCCTGAAATATCCAGGAGGGCCTATTCTGCGGGCTCTGATCTTTAAGGATGTTAGCTCTTCTGCACTTATGTAGAGATGGCTAGTTGCAAAATAGAGAATAACTTTGTTTTTTTGGAGGTTTTAAAGGGTCACCATGATTTGACCCACATGGATAGCTGCAAGAACAAAGGATTCCAAGGAAAGCAATTCATACAGCAAGAAGTTTGCAACAACCAACCACACCCCTGCCCCTTTTTAGTATAAAAGGAGACTGAATTTGACATGGGGAAGAGGGTTCACCAGGATATCAGTATGCCATCTTCTGGGTCTGCCAGCTTTTCAAATAAAGTCACTATTCCTTGCTCTAACACCTCATCTCCCGACTTACTGGCCTGCCACTCAGCAAGCAGAACAAGTTTGGACATGGTAACAAAATGACTTCATTGGAGGTAGTATGTCTCCACTGTTTCCCCATTTCCAAAATGTCACAACCTATCAAATTTATATGCTGTTTAACAACACAACCAAAAAACCTATCATAGGGAATTGATTCCACCGAAATAAAATTACTTCTACTCCCTTCAAAACTTTTTTCTTTTCTATTTTATTTGTTTTGCTTATTGGAAAGAAAATAAAAGTCAAATCTATTTATTTTACGTGTTTTTCTTACAGCTGAATATTTTAAATACTAAAAAGATAATAAAATTGCAATAAATAATTGTTCATATATTAGTATAAAGATATATAAACAATCAAAGTGGATTAGGAAAGTTATGGATATTTACTAAAAATCCACTGCATATCCAGTCTTTTACAAGCATATCCTGGAATATAAGCTCTGTGATCCAGGGGTCCACCACCCCCATTCTCACTGCCGAGTTCCTTAATAATCAACTACCAAGGCACCAACATAGAACCTCGCGATCAGTATTTTAGGTATAAATGAGGGAATTAGCTCATTCAATTCTATTAAAAAAAACTTAAAATAATTACTGAACTTACAGACAAGGAAAATTGGACACAAAAAAGTACAGTCTCTTCCCCAAGGTCACAAGGCTAATAACTATAAAGGCAAGATTTGTACTCATCTGCCTGATTCTAAAAACTAAGGTGGAAATCCCATTTGACTGTGGGGGGTCCAGCAGCAATGGCTATCACCGTATCTTTGTTCAGATCTAGCCTTAGACAGCCTGAGACAGCACCCCATTCCTATGGAACTCGAGGGCAAACCATATCAATAAGGATTTTATATTCAGTAATTTCTTAGGTCTCATTTATATAAAGTGTCAGCAGGTCAGCAGAAAATCTCTAGGAAATATGAGTGGATCCAGAGCTTTTTGCTGATTAGAAACTCAGTCAAACAGGACAGAGTGACCTTCCCATGAGAGGCCACATGGACATAAAGTAAATGCAGGTGAGCAATGAAAACTAGCAAGACCCTGGAACTCAAGCAAGAAGGACCCCTGCCATCCCCTGCCCAGTTGCCTCTTCACCCGCATGGACATGATGGCAGAAGACCCAGGTTTTTGTCCAAGTTACACCAAGATGGATTCTCACCCTTAAAAAGTTACGACCCCATGCTGTCTTAAGTCGTTTACAACTCAAATATGGTGACACCAATATCTCAGCAGAATGTCTATATCTCCACTTCCTCTCTTCTATTAGGAGAATATTTCGATGGCAACAAAGCAGAAATCCAATTAAAAACACCATGCAAGAAGCCGGGTGAAAGTCTGCATAAGAGACTTTGTTCTCACGCTGAGTGAATGAAAACACAGAAACAGTGTTCCTTCTCCCTCAGTAAGTGGGAGGTAGCCTGATTGTGTGCGTGTGTGTGTGTGTGTGCGTGTGTGTGTGTAAATCAAATACAATGAATTCTGGGATATTTACAGATTTTTTTTTATCTTACTGTCATTTCATGGGGATGAGCCACCCTTTAAATTAATTTGAATGTAGTGTTCTGAGAGAGTATCAGGCTCTTTTGGTGGAGTAGGGGAAAGGGGAAAGGAAAGGAGGAAAGAAGTAAATGAAGCAAAGGAGTACGAATACTGCTTGGGAAATGCAAGACATTAATTTTGTTACTAATTACATCACACACAAATTAGGGACTGACTTTCGCCCATGTCTTGTCAAGCGCTGAGTTGCAGAAGAAGAGGGGACAGCCCATTTCTCACTGAGCTTGCAATTGTACTTGGCATCTTATTGACACATATCATTTACCCTGATCACTCTAGCAGCAGGCCGTAATTCTCCTGTTTTGAGAGACAAGAAAACAGGAGTTCAAAAAGGGTATATAAGTTGACAAAAGTCAGAGGACCTGTAAACATGAGAGGATGAATTCAAACTCAGATCTGAATGCAGAGTCTGATCTTCCCACTCCCAGGAATGGAAAGTCCTTAACACACAGGCTCCCCAGCTCCCCTGCAGTGTTCCTGGCACCAAGCATTTCCCATAGCGATGGTCTCCAGTTCTCACAGACACAGAGCTCTGTGCAGCCAATGACCTCCATTGGACCTTGATCATCAACCTGCCACGCCCATCAGGCCTCACCATAAAGGCAGGAAAGCTGGCTTTCAAGTGCATACAAAGCCATCCCTGGTCTTACCCGGGCTCTTCTGCAGCTTCTCCAGCCTAAATACAGCCATGAAACTGCTCACAGTTTGTACATGAGCCACACTACTTCTGTCCATCTGTCTCCCCACCTATACTACTTAGCTATGACCATTTTGATAATCTTGAAAACAAATTTTGAAAAAGATAAAAGAAAGGATCCTGGAACAAGTACTTAATACTTCCAATTTTAAATGACAAGTTAAAAAGTGAGTATTTACAAATCAAATCTGCCTCCCCAGGTGTCAGATTTAACAGTTAAAAAATATAATAGGGAAAAATTCTCAATTACAAAATAAAGAAAGACATCAACAATAATCTGGAATAAACTCAAAATTAAAACCCATGTTCTACATGGAGAAAACTACAGGAGTGTACTGAGGGGTAAAGTAAGAGGTGTGAATGTAGAGACATCAACATATTGCATGGAGGAAAGCAGTTTTGTAAAGATGTAAGTTCTCCTAAAGATAATTCAAAACTTACTAAAAAATCCCATGAAAACCCTTACCTGTTTTTTTCAACTTGAACAAACTGTTTTAGAATTGTCCAGGAATAATAAAATCATAATACTAGCCAAGAAAATTTGGGATAGAAAAAGAATGAAAAAAAATCACACTTTCAGATATTAAATAAATTTTTATAATATGTAAGATATAGCACTAGAGAAAGAAAGCAAAATTGACAGAAATAAACCATGAGCTCAAAAACAGACTCTAGTGTATATAAGTATTTTGTACAGGTGGGATTTCAAATCAAAGAGCAATGTATGAATTCAATAATTGTCTTGGGACAGAGAATCACCTGGAAAGAACAAATTCTATTCCTGTACCAATGACCACAAGAAAAATTACAGATAGTGATGTAAATATTAAAATACTAATAACAACAAATGCAACCCTTTGCTCATATTAATTCAACTTCTCCTCACTATAACAAGTACTATTTTCATCTCCATCTTAGAGATTAAAAAAACTTTCAGAAGAGATTTATATCATTATAAGAAAGTGTTTCTAAGAATAATACCAAAGATAAAACCCAAAAGGAAGACATTTGCAATCTTAAGAATATTTTGGGCCACAACGAAAATAAAAAACCCACTGAACAAAATGAAAGGCAAGAAATGACAAGAAAAAGCTGCATGATACATGTTGATGAAGACAAGTGGTTAATGTTCATAACATACAAAGAGCTGTCACAAAGCAACAAGAAGCTCCCTCACTTAAATGTGTGCAAAGGACAAAGAGGATCATTCATTTTTAAAAAGTCAGATGGCTAATGAGTGAAAAATGCTCAATACCTCACTGATCATCAAATGCAAACTAAAACAATGAAAAAGCACTTTTGCTCATCATATTGGCAAATATTTATAAAAGATATTCTAGCTAGTGTCAATCTGTGAGAGAACAAACTGTGAGCGACTTTTTGGAGGATGACATGTCAATGGATATGTAAACTCTGATAAACGTGTGTACACACAGACTCAACTCAACTTCTAAGAATCGTTCCATATAGAAAAAATATCAGTTCAAAAAGATGTACTCATCAGAGCATTTACACAGCACTGTTTATAATGGTGGGAAGAAAAGCTGAAGTGAAATCATATACAGAGCTAGAGAATTGGTTACATAAGTTATTCTACAGCTTTTCATTCCCCACTGGAGAAGCAATTTCTAGAGTCACTTGAAAGGAGCCTGTGATGTATGTAAATGTCACATCCAGGGACTAAATTTCCAGAAGCCTTAACTAAAGGAATGCTCATACAAGATCACAGGAATGTTTGTACAAGAAGGATGCCAGTCAAACATCTATTCTGACAGTGGAAAATGGAGAAAACTTAAGTGTCCACCATCAAGAAAATGATGCGGTAAATCACGGTGAGATGTGGGCTCTGAGGGGGCTGGCAATTCAGCGTGGTCCAGGGCCTTGTACTCAGCACTATCCCACCAAAGGTGTCCTTGCACAAGAGACCACATCTGCACATCAGGAGACCCCTCCACTCTATCCGAAAGGACCGGGTGAGTCTGGAGTGGGTGGACATCTATGATATACCCTTGAGTGAATAAAGCGAGCTGCAGAAAACATATAGTATTGCCTTATTTTTCAATAAAGCATATATACATACACATATATAAAGATTTCTCATATACATGTACGTATGTAGGTATGTATGTATTTATGGGTATATATATATGTCATAGGCATAAAGGTCATGAAATATATACACCACATTGTCAACAGCTTTTACACTCAGGAAATAAGGGGAAGGGAGCTTGGGGCCTTTTGGTACCACCACAGTTTTCTTTTCAGTATTTCAGTTAAGTATTCTAGAATTTGAAAGTTTATTTAAGTCCGAAGTAAAATGGACGAAGCCTCCACAAGACAGAATGCTATACTGGTCATTAAAAATCAAGCCAGGGGAGATAGAATATTGTAGAAAAACATGTAATAAGCCGAATGGAAAATGGAGGTCTCCACACAGTAAGCAGGAACAGAGTGATCGCTGGTTTTTATGACAGAGGTGATACACACTGACGAAAAGAACAGAAAATAGATGTTAAAGTGTTAATTATGGTCTCTGAGTAGTGGGACCAGGATAGCCTCTTTTGCCCCTTTTTTCAGACTTATTATATTAAATACACATTATTTATCATCTGAAAAAAGCATTTTTAAATGTCTAGTACCACGCATTTGAGAAAATACACAAGTAATTACAGAAAAAAATAACTAGGAGACACCACAGCAGTGTCACACAAGGTAGAACAGGCGATCCTGAATAACACCGCACAGTTACATAAGGACCCACAAAGAGAGAGCACCTGCTGTAACAGGACGCGGCCCCCTTCTATTTGTCAGTTGTGTCTTCAGGGCTGAGGCAGTTCTGAGCACTGCCAGTGTCAGTGCTGGTGTCTGGATGGATGCCACTGGAGGTGAGGACACCTGCAAGCTGAGAGGAAGAACAGAAATTATCCTCTGCTTTTTCTGTCTTGTTTCTTTGTTACTGTAAAAGAGAGGCATAAATAAGATAAACTGTGTATCTTCCCTACTGAAATTTCAATAATGGAACCGTTTTTAAAGTCTTCACAGCTTATATTCTGCCTATAACTGTCTTTACAACAAAGCATCATATTTATTAAATGTTAATTAACTCAATTAACTCCCGGTTGAAACCTTCTATTGAAGAACATGAAATGCACTACGTAAAAGCACCAAGCCTGCAGTGACTACCTTATCTGTCTTGACAGCAGTGCAGTCAGCCCCCACCATCCTGTGGCCCTGAGCTCCTGATGCTGGTAGGAGAGCGGGCTGCCGCCTCAGATGGAGAGGAACTGTGAAAGCATTCTCTGAAATCTACAGCACTGACAAAACATAACTGACAAATCCCAGGCTCCTTTTAAGCTGTCATTTTCTGTTTCAGGCCAACCCCGTCAATGAGCAGAACCACCCCATTCCCGAGCCATGTGACTCACGTGGGAAGTGGTTTCAGAGAAATTTCCATGTATAGAATGTAACCAACTATACATAGAACTCTCACAAAAGAAAAGATGAAATACTCTGGTTTTGGAAGACACTCAAAATATTCTCCTAAGCCTTAGGAGCTGGGAAGGCTGGGCTTCTCCTCATCCACTTATTTATTTCACATTCAGTGAGAATCTCCCACAAACCCTGTTTCCCTGTGTCTGTTGGGAGCCTCAGGCACACAGATGCTGTCAATCTTATAAGTCACAGCAAACTTATAATTCTTATATGTCTCATGCCTGCAATCCTCACACAAGCTCACCTATTGGCCACACTGTCTGTACTTGGCCCCATTTTCTCACCTATTTATTTGGTATCTGTTCTTCTGTAAGTTGCCTAATATGCTTCTTGGAACAAATCAGAAGAATGAGTGGGTAGATAAATGGACAGATGGACAGGAGAGAGATGGGCAGACAAAAAGAGAGACTCCAAGAAAAGGGGAAAGAAAATTTCCTATGCAAAACCCTCTTCTAGTCAGGGAAGAAAACCACCACGGAGAAGTGTGAAGAGGCAGGTAGCTTAGGACAGTTTCCTGGAATCCATGTAAAGTCACACCAAGTGATGAGAAGGTAGAACTATAAATAATAAAAAAAACCCATGCATGCTTGAAAAATATATCTACAATATATACTTTCTGAAGAATAGATTCAAATCAGTAGGGCCCAATAACACAATTTTTGGGTATTTACAGAAGTGAGAATCCCACATCCAAACCACAAGACATCCCTTTGGAGCACTGAGAGTCTACACGGTGCGTTCATGTAGCCATCACCGCAAAAGCTATGCTATCCTGCACTTACGAGGAACGAGCAGCTGTGCTCGGGCTGCCCACGTGCGTCATTTACACCCCACAGCACCTCTATGGGGGAGGGACACCTAGCGAGCCCCGTCTCTGCAGGACAGAAAAGAAGTCCGGGAGAGGCTAAGCCGACCTACCTGTTCTCCATCTCACAGGACTGGTCACTCCAGAACAGGACTCGATCTCGGACCCATGTTTGTAACCACAGTACTAACGTGCTTTATGTGCTTTTTGTGTGTATAATACATTTGCTTCTGGCATGAAAGGATATTTAATAAATGTTCGGTTGTCTTGTCTATCTCAGTAGCTCACAATCAGTCTTTATACTATTGAATTGTACTCTTCTCAAAAAGAGTACAACGGAAAGAGCAGGGGTCAGAATGAAGTGGGGCTGCATTCTTTATCTGGTACCTCATCTCATCCAAGTCCCCAACCGGGGAGAAGGAGCAAATGTTTTCATCTTTTAAAGAGAGAGCTCCAATGATGGTGAATTACTCAACTCCAAAACCAAGGCCGGGGGTAGGGCACATGCAGCAACCAGAGCAGTATCACCGGTAGGAAGGTGAAAAGAGCTCACGGGAGGGCTCAGGGGATGTGCCTGAAATAATTTCAATCAATAAAAGAATACCACAGTCTAAAAATTCTAGCATGCAATGGATTTGCTCTTTCTTGTCATCTAGCAAGTTTCCACAGCCCCCATGTAACATTATCATGAACCAGTGAAAGGAAGAGTCTACAGACAGGGAAAATCAATGCCACAAGCAGGCTGAAACTCAGCATGGATGAAAGGAAGAGAGAGGGCATAGTTAAGAAGAGGGGAAAGGCTGGGAAAAGGACATCATCACAAGGACTCTCAAGCATCATCCAGCAATCATATAATCATTTATTCAAGAGAGGGTTACTGAGGTCCTATTTTGTGCAAGATTTTACACAGGGCAAAGCAAGAGCGCAGCGTCCGTGGTGGCAGCAAGTGGCGTGGTTCAAATACACTTCTGATCCTGGTATCTTGCACACTTTTAATCAGTATAAAGGCAAAGAAAAAAAGTAAAATAATACTCTGTAAACACAATGCATTGTTGAAAAAAATTAAAGAAGTCCTAAATACCTGGACAGACATACCACGCACATTCATGGATCAGAAGACAGCGCTCTTGGAATGGCAGTGCTCCCCACAGCGATCCGTATATTCAACGTGGTTTCGATTACAATCCCAGCGGGCTCCTCTGCAGAAACTGACTAGCTGCTGCTACGATTCATATCGGAATTCGAAGGTCTCAGTAACCAAAACGTACTTGAAAAAGAAGAACAACATGAGAGGACTTGTAATTCTCAATTTCAAACATTACAACTGTATCTCCAACTGAGATTAGAGGCCATTTTTAAGTTATTATTGTGTTTATCCTAATTTTCCAAATTCTCTGCAATGAATATATCTTTTACAATAAGAAAAATAAAAAGTAAGGTATCTTTTAAAACATGCACACCAATTCATTCATTGGGTAAAAAATTTTTTTAACTATAAAGAGTTAAACAAATTTCTAGTGAAAAAGGACTACTTAAAAACAAGACTGCATTTACATTTTTCATAAATTGAAATCTGAAAAGCACAAACACATCAAGTTTCTAGGGAGACCAATGCAACATATTAATATTTATTTCCAAAATTCTAATTTAACAATGAAAACTCAAAAAAGGGAAAATCGTGATTGACAGCCAACTGCAAACACATGGAAAGCAAAGACCTAGAAATCACAGTTCCTTTAACTCTGCTACTAACTCAGTAGGACAGGAGATTCCTCACTGAGAGGACAGTGGAATCCCATGCATAACACAGGATACACAGTACAAACTGCACTAGAATCGGGGGTGATTTTCTTACAAGAATTCTAAAGTTACAACATTGCTGAAAACCTATAAAACATTGACAGATTAAAACACACAGTCATATATATTATAAAGAAACATATGAAGTCTGCTCCCATGTTGCATAGAAATACAAACATATTTGTTCATTTATGGGCACTGATTACATTATCCCAGGTAGAATATTTCAACTAAAACAAATCAATAATACACTACTCTTGTCAAATCTAGTTGATAAGTTACTGTGCTATGTAACCATAACTTGTCTAAGATAGATCTAAAATTAGTGAAAAAGATCTTTGTATGGTTCCCAGAACTCTTCTCAAAACTCCAAGCTTAATTTTAAAATAGGTCTGAGCAGTATTTCTCTATTATCTTTTCTCTCGTGAAATAAACAACAGAGTCTGTTGTCAAAATTCTGTCCTTACAATGATTCACGAGCACCGTATCCTCACAAAACTGCTGGACAGCAAGGCACTATCCAGACAATGTGACCAAACCAATGAAACACAAGGAAGACGGTGACCCTATTCTGGAGGGCTTATAATCTGTGTCAACACCAGGGTATTTATTTGATTGGTTTGATTGGGTAGCAAAATAAAATCAATCAAGTAATTTCTTCTTTGAGCATTCTGTACGACATGACTCTGTGTTTAGTGTCATGAGCAGGAAAGACTTAAGCATGACTTGATTAGGTCAACTAGCAACAATCATCACTGGTGAGTGAGTAATAAAGAAGTTAACTGATAGCAATGCTTCTGCCTACATGAGACCTAAAATAAACCTAAAATGACCTCTGCAAGGAAAATGAGGAGATGAGGTCCCCAATGAGAAAACAAACTAACAAGAAATCAAAAACTGAAAGACATTTTCATTAACGATTCCAGGAAGGAGTGGAGCATGTTGGTGAAGAGCCCAGATGCTGTGGAGAAACATGAGGGTCTGAACTCCCACAGCACTGGGTAGCTGTGACACTGTTATGTCAGTGAAATTTTCTGCATTTCAGTCTCCTGTCCATAGACTGGGGACAACAACAGCACCCATCTCCTAGAATGATCCTAAGAATTAAGTTATTTTATATATAAATGTTTAAATAAAATACCTCAGAATTTAAATAATACCCCAAAAGAACAAGGAGCAAAGAAAACAGAGATAAATTGGAGTTCATCAAAAGTTAAACCTTTGCTTCAAAGGACACCATCCAGAAAGTGAAAAAACAACAGACAGGAGAAAATTTTTTCAAATCATTTATCTGATTAGGAATTTGTATCTCCAAATAAAAAAAAAATCCTACAACTAAACAATACAAAGCAGCTCATTTAAAAATTGAATAATGGTTCTGGAAAGGAATTTTTCAAGGAAAATATACAAACGAATAATAAGCACAAAGAAACGATGTTCCATATCACTAGCTGTAATTGAAATCAAGTCAAAACCACTAGGAGAAACTGCTTCACACTCACTACAATAGGATATACTCAAAAAGAGAGTAACAAGCATTAATGAGGACACAGAGGAAGCGGAGCTCGCAGCCCTTGCTGGTGAGGACGTAACACAACATGGCCACTTTGGAAAACAGCCTGGCAGGTCCTCAGAGAGTTAAACATTTGGTTTCTGAATGACCCAGCAATTCTGCTGTCTGGGCACACACGTAAGAGAACAGAAAACAAGTGTCCACATAAAAACTCCTACAGGAATGTACACGGCGCCATTATTCATCACAGCCAAAAAGCAGAAACAAACCAAATGCCTATCACCTGATGAATGGGTAAACAGTGGGGCCCAGCCATACAGTGGAATATTATTCAGCAATAGCAAAGCATAGAGTACTGACCCAGTCCACAACGTGGACCAACATTAAAAACGTTACTCGGTGTGAAAGAGGTCAGTCACAATAGATGGTTTCATTTACATGAAATGACTCAATTTACATGAAATGTCTAGCATAGGTAAATCTTCATAGAGAGAAGAGTGGCTGCCTGGGGCTGGGGGAGGATGGGGAAGATGTGAAAAACTGCTTCTATATTCGGGGCTTCCTGATGGGGGGATGAAAATATTCTAAGATTGACTGGAATGCACAATTCTGGGCATTGAGTAAAAACTGCTGTACATTTTAATGGCTGAATTGCATTAAAACTGTTAAGAATAAAAGCACCTAGGTCCAGTACCTTCCCATAGTAAATGCAAATTGCTAACTTTTATTACAGGAAGAAGAAACTGCCCTCAGCATGAAAGCAGGAGATCAGCAAATGTGAGTTAACTGAAATTGGACAAGAGCATTTCACTTGAAACAGTTGCTGAGTGTACACGAAATATTCAGAAATACGAAAATCAGTTTGACATCACGAAGAAGCTTTCTGCTTCAAATAAAGATCAAAGATTCAGCAAGCCCAGCTGCTAGAAATGACCAGAGAAGAAACCTGGTTCATAAGACAAGCACCAGAGCCAACAAGGAAATGGTGGTGAGGAAAGCAGGCGGCCGAAAATCTGGAACAGTTAGCTACAAATAATTTCTCCAATGAAAATTCAAAAATAAAATGAAACTGATGCAATGCTGTGCTGGCCTCACGTGAATGGGCTTCCTCCAGTGCTCGACAGTTCTGTAACCCCGAATGAGACACTCAGGAGAATCAGCATGGTTCCTAGCAGTCCCCAAGTGACTGCCCACCAGCACGCCGACCACCAT